ACGTTGCACCCATGAGGAATCAAGAGAAAGTTTCTTCTTACCCTTGGGCAAAAACAGTTCTGAAGAAAGTATTTTTTAAAACAGGCAGAAAAGTGGAGGTAAGAAGAAAAGGTTGCTTGACTCCATGTCGGTACTTAAGATAAACCAGTTGGAGCAGCCAATTATAGCTATAATGGGGTTATGATGAACTCCTGATCACTCACGGAATTAATTTCTAGGCTCCTATGTGTCAACGCTAACCCATCACATACCGCTAGTGCCTGCAGTATGGGCGCTGCTGGTAGAACCTGGCCTGGGAATAAGGGCCTTAGAATTGGCCCATTCTCATTAAGACTACAGGAAGCCGTTGGGGTATTCACCACTTACAGAAACATTAATGATACAGAATCTAGGTAATTGGTTTTTTCATTAAACAAGCCCCTTCTTGGTAGGGAGGGAGCGGCAGTCAAATACATCAACTACTACACCAAACAGAGATGTGTACAGTCTGAGCCTAGCCTCCACCTGGGTGGGAACCATTGCACCAGAGACAGGCATAAAGCCACCCCATCTGATTTGCTTAGCTGACAAAAACACAAATGAATAAAAGAACAACAAACAAGAAATCCTGTAGAGCTTCATAGGGTCCCCACATATTTATAGTCACAGAACTTTGCAAGAAACCCTTCCCATCCCATATGAGTTTTTATCTGCAGTTCTGTGAAGACAGGCTGGTGGAGATTTGCTACCTACTTGAAAATATTTCCTTACTTGTGCAATTGTGACTGCAAGTACACACTTCTGTGTGCCAAAAAGAATTAAAATATAGATTACTTGCCTTACATATAAATCTGCATGATATTTCTTTCCATTTAGAACTCCCAGCAATGTTGGATTCTCATTATTTCTAAAATTGAGGGTAGAATCATAGACTGCAGAAACTACAAGAAGAGAAACAGGTTACGCGACTATTGTAATAATAGAATGGAAATAAGTCATTCTCTCTTAGACAAGGAGCATATTTAAATATGAAAGTCATCAGCAATAGCACCACAGTTTGAGCTGTCACCAAGGTAAAGATGACAATGAAATATTCACCATGCATGTTTTAAGAAGCCAAATAACCAGTGACCCTTCCAGGAACTGCACCAGTAGGACAGAAAGGTTTGCTCTCCACCCTTGTCTCCTTCCCTATCAGGTGCAGAATGTTGGGCATAGGGAACAAAGTCACAGTTTCTGACAGTTAATACACTATCCTAGGAGTCAAATGGTTGGTTAAGAAACTATTAGCTTTCTCAGCTCACTCTGAATGACACATTTCCCTCCCCCCCCAAATCTGGGTGAATAACCACGCAGACACACACTTTATAAACACTGAACAATATATACGGTTTGACTAAGAACGGGTAAAGTGCGTGTGAGACACATCCTAGAGCAAGCAGGCTTAATGCAACTATGAATTGCTGGGCTTCAAAACAACCTCCCCTTCATGTCCATTATTTGATAACTGAGGCACCTGCTGTAGGGCAAGGGGAGACTCAGAATAGCAGACCAAGTCCTGTGTGAGCTGGGCGGCTGCTATGAAGACGTGCAGCTGTGAGGCATATAATAACCAAGTTCCACAGAACAAAACTGCAGCCAAACCTTCAGCCTCGAGAAAACGCTGTTTCTGCAGGTCAGGACTGCGTGGTAACAGTAGAAGTATTTGCAAAGGTCGTTTGTAGTTAAACTAAGACAGCATTAACAAGCAGTTTCTACAGAAAGTGTTCCGTTTTAAGCTACATAAAATGTTTCAAAAAAGTTTCTTTGAACACATCCTTGGAGACACTATTTTCCTGGTGTCACAAAAATTACCAAGAGGAATTAGTCTTCCTGCCACTGAAACCAATTGTGCATCATGGTACGAATGTAAGACAAATGCCAGCAACAAAACCTTTTTCGTATGTCACAAAAGTGATTAACATGCACTTCACATGCAGCTTGCTATATTCTAGGTTTTCTGCTCTAGAGTTTTTCAGTAATGAACACTATGATGAACCTTTGTTGCAAAAGCTTTTGAGCCTCCTTAAAAAGCCTTTTATCACACAGAACAGATTTGCTTTTATTTTTGAAGCCCCTCTAGCTATGAAAGGTAAATATGGCTTGGTCACAACATCCAGCCCCAGAAACTCACCACAACATTTGTTATTGCAAAACAGAATTCATAGCACAGAACAGAACAGGCTGGCTTCAGCACTGTAAGGAAATCCTGAAAAGAGAGGCCAAAACCCTGTCACTGCATACAGACTGTATCCCTCGTTAACAACTCTATTCTCTTCCTACTGCAGCTGGGGTTTTAGCGCAAACTCAAAACTACAACATGTAAATCAAAATCTATTTCAAGCATACCACTTTTCCTGTACAATACAAGTAGGAATTTATTTTTTTGAGTAAATTATCTACCTCCATTTTTAAGCTTCTTAGTGTAGAAGGATTTTACTAATCCACTCTAATTTACTAATCCAATGTAATTGAAGGAAGACAAGAGCTCAATTCAGTTTATACAGGGTAAGCTTCTTAGTTTATTCTTTAATAGCATGAGATTATTCTAACGACAACAGGGACACAATAAAGGAAAGTATGATGTACACAGCACTTGTTCTTTCATCTTTTAGAAGACACCTACATTTGATTTTTGATATGAATTGGGTGCTTGTTCAGACACATTGAAAGATGCTTCTCATGTTCTGAAAAAAACTTCTGCAGAGTTAGTCAGGAACATCTTCATGTGCTAATGGCCATGTACAGAGTTTTCCTTCACTCCAGGGAAAAAATATTCCATTCCAGTTTGTAACTGGTCTGTACTTTGATATTCAGTTCAGTCCTTTTTAATATCACACTGAAATCTTTTAGTATGAAGCAGTGCCAAATTCAAGATACTGACCATATGCAGGAGTAAACAGACCTCTGTTATGCCCATATATAAAATAATTGAACATTTCAGCATTTCCATTTCGAAAGTGCAGGAAAAGAACAACAGTAGAACTGTCAAAGAAAGAGACTGCATGGAATTAAAATTTGCCAGAAAAATTCCACAGCCAAAGCAGCACTAGCATGCTGCGTGACAGACTGAAATTGTTTTTCATTAAATGTGTATTTTATAATTACATAATTAGAAATGAACATCCCATGACTTTCTCATCCAAAAGCTGAAGAGTCCAGAAATTTCATGTTCTAAACCAAGTAAAAAAATAACTCCTCAGCATCTTGAAAACATTGCAACTATCTCACTCTCAGACTAGTTTAGGCAGCATTTGATAAGTTTTGCTTCAATTATGAAATAAAACACTTTCTCACAGAAGTTATCTTAAAACATCTTTTTCATTAAAGAACAAAACACAAATCCATATTTGGAAACCTTTTCAAAGGCTCAGAACAGATCATAACTGAAAACAAATTTTTTCCAACTGAATTACTATTTTCTGACAAAAAAAAAGGCTAGGTAGGTTGTTTTGTTTTCTAATCTCTGCCCAGCTTTTTGTTATATCTTTCACTGTTGGTTCCTTGTACAGCATTCTGACAGAGAGTGATGTACTTAAGAATTTAATTTAATTTTGACCTAAGAAATCTTTGGATTACATATATAGAGAGGATTTTTCTTACTTCACCTGTCACTCTTGAATTTCATGCATTATTTTGTGGACATGGTGGATTATGCCAGAACTATTATCCGACAAAGCAACCTACAAGCAACGAGTATGCCTACATATAGCTTCATACTAGCATACAATTACCAGAAGTGAAGACTGGGAAACGCAGGGGAAGAGACAGTGAAATTCACTATACTACTGGTATGACAGCCACCTTGACACAATCTTTCGATTTAACATTTCATTGCTGTGGTCATCCTGGTCAAAATAAGACTCATCCTCTCAAACTTGGTAGCTTGCTCAGGAGGATGACCGGAAGCCTCACGAAACATTGAAAAAAATCCAGAACTAAAGTGCAGCTCGTGGGGAAAAAAAAAGTCATTGCAAAACCTCCAAGCACTGTCACACTGAACTCCATGAGAACATCATCCTGGAATTTATTCTCATGCATTCCCCCTATGACAGTAGTTCCCAGCATGCAACTGGAGGAAAAGATTGACAACTTGGAGTTATCTACAATCCATCATGAGGCACATTTTTAAATACAAGTCTCAGCTAAATAGAAACAGCTGAAAGGAACTGCCTGATATACAGCCAGGCCATAAAAGTAACAGTTGAATATATCTTTGTCAATATTTATGACATTTATTTTTATTGTAAGTAATGGATGAGTGTTTTAGAAACAGATCTGTATTTTCATTTGCTTCCATGAACAGTACAGGTAGCAAACTCTAAAACCTAACAGTAATTTATTAAGACAGCAAAGAGCTTCTAGAAATGAAGCTCCCGGGGACTGCATCCGTACTACCAAAGTGGTAGAGATGGCCACCAATAAAAACATCAGAACAAGTTCGAAAAATATTAAAAGCACTCCTTTAAGAATCAAAATGTGTGCAGAGATCTGAATTTGTGAAAGTAAGCCACTGAAAAGAATTCCACTATCACTTGTGAAGAAGTGAGTTAGGAGAAAAGGTTCTTTACTTGTTATTTTGTGTGAAAGATATTTTTATGCAAATATATCTGCTTATGCTGACAGATATGACATCCACTGGTACGGGGGCAGTTTCCCATGTATGCACATTAAATAAACTCCTTCTTAAGCTCAGTTTTTCAAAACAGATGGACTTGCCAGACTGATGTCACCAAAGCCTGTGTCCAACAGATGCAGAACTACTGCACCAGGTAGCATTAAGAGTTGATACAAAGTTTCAAAAAAGACCAAGGTGCAATGACTGCTATTGCGGGTGAATTACCTCTACAGCTGCAGAAACCAGCATCCATCCATCCTATAGTACTACAGCCTCAGACGGGTTGAATCACACCCTTGTCAGAAACGAGGAACAAAGAATAGAGCAAAGGGAAACGCTGACCTCTGTCACACCCAGCTTGGGAGTGGGTCCAAACATTTGGCTTGCCTTCACTGCGACCTCATGCTGCAGCTATCTCCCTTAACAAGGCACTCCAGCCAGGCCCCCCACCCCTCAGGGAAGAGAAGAAAGTGTATTAGCCTAAGTGGAAGGCCCCAAAATGGGCTCAGGCAGCTCAGCACCAGTCTCTCACTTTCAGAGACATGCAGGGATACCCCACTACAGACTTGGCCACTGACATGGATGTGAATTGTGCCACAGGAGACACAGGTCAGCCTGCAAGACTCATTCTTGTAGATCATCAGTTCAGTCACCTGTAAAGTTATGAACATCTGCATGCTGCCATTGCTTCTTCTGCACACAGAGCAGCAATTCAGCAGTCACACTGACGCTGTTTGGAACAAGTAATTTGAGGCTGTCATACAGGGATACAGTCACTTGCTGGGCCACGTTATAGGGCAGAGCATAATAACGAGACTCAGGGGATTTACAGCAAATAAGTCAAATAGTACTATTTACCAATTTAAATATTCAAAATAAAAAAAAAATGCCCAAATTACTACAGCAGATAGCCTCTGCATATACTGACACCTACAACATGTTACTGCTTATAACACAGGTACCAAATGTCAGTGCAGGTTAACAGAGATAAGAGGTCAGATCCTATCAGTATTCATGCACGAAAGGAATAATTTCTAGATAGAACTTACATTTCTGAATTATGGACTGTCAAAACAGACTTCCATCATGTTCTCTATTCAAAAAACATTTATAGACTTCCTTGTTACCTGTACATATTAATGTTACAAGGAGCTCTAAAAATAAGAACTTGTTTACAAAGGCCTTTCAAATGCTCTTCACATGTACCCCTTGTCTCTATCGGACAGAAACATCTAGTAATCCAGACAGTAACTCTTCTTATCTCCCTCTCACTGCATCCCTCAGAGGTTTGCTGGTTGGGTTTTTAAGCTATACAGTTTCAACAAAAACTATCTATGAGAAGTTATGACTTTCTGTGCTCCTCCTTGAACCCTCACAGGGAAATATTAACTTGTTAGCCTTACCCTGTTCAATCCAGCAAGTCACAGCTTCTGGATTGAGGTAGTAACATAACACTTCCCTAAGTAAGTACTCTAGAAATCTTAGTCGTCATTTTTGAAAGTATTTCAAATATTTAGGATCCTAAAAAGTGTTACTGTAGCGTATTGCATGAATGCCCAAAATTTTTTATAAACGTCACTGGGGTTCCCTAAAATTGTTTCCTTTTGAAATATTTGCCCACAAATCAGCTACTTGTCCACAATCATATCATCTGTTGCTTGCTTTACACAGACTTAGTGAAAGAGAACAAAATCAACACCAAAATAACTCGTCCCTGATTCCCAGCTCAGGGCACTGAAGGTCACAGTGTTTTGACTCAGCTCTTCTTCAACGCCTCAAGTCTACCTCTCCGTGCCCTCAGCAAAACAGTCGCCCTTATTCAAGAAGGAAGGTTAAACTGTGCCCTTAAGGGAGTTGCTGGACGCTGCACATAACTTACCCCTTCTTCACATATCAGTAAAGATCCAAGCTATTCTGTCCATTTTGGGAGTGGGAAGTCGTGCGTGCCTGACAAGCTACAACAGCGGTATCATCTACCTGACTTGCAAGAGGATATGTAGAAGAAACATGACAGACAGCAAGACAGCTGACTGCAAAGCTTTTTTTACAGCAGCTATCCTAGATATGCCACATGAAAACATATCTTCAAAGACAAAAGAAGTTTTGACATTAACTTCAGTCAAGCTAGAACGTTTTCTTCTAAACCACAAACCACTCTGTCTTTCCTACATATATATCAGCCTTCCAATGACACACAAATCTACCAAACCCGAAAGACACTGTAGCACTACGGCTATTTAGCACTGTCTTTCCTTTGCCCATGAAGTACACAGCAGAAGACTTTGATGGATTGTATTAGTCAAAGAAAATCACTTCAATGGCACGCGTGCCATATTCTTACTGATGGCACTTTAAAAGTTGGCAAATTCAAGTAACCAGAAATATCTGGGGGGTAGGGAGTTCAGAACAACATTAACAAAGAAAAACTTACTCATGTTCTGTAATGTAGAAACAATTTATTTATAAATTTCTCCTACATGTATTTTCAATCATGCATTTTCACTCCCATTCCACAGCTCCACAAAGGTTACTTAGAAACTCTAAAGAGTACATCTACACAGGAATTTAAAGCAGAATATTTTTTTATTTTAAAATGGTGTTATTTGAGGCAGATATTTACTGCAAGAAAATATTTAAGACACACTGCCTCAGATTCTCTATGAATGTATTTGCTTCATTTGGCATAGAATTGCTTAGTAAATACCAAGAAATATTATCCTTTGGCAATAGGTATGAAACATGCAACTTGAGATTCCGCAATACAGACTCACAGTAACAGGAAACAAAACCAAACCAAAACCAAAACAAGCTGCCCCAGGACTTTGTTAGTAAAACCTGATCTTTAATTTTTGCAGGCTAGTAGAAGAAAGGTCAGAAAGGATCCCAGGGCTTTTCTGCTAGGACATATGCTACAGGGAAAAGAAGAGCATGGCAAAGTGACAGCAGTTACATGAAATAACCATTTAGCACTGTTCCTTGTGACTTTCCTTACCTACATTTCTCAAACACTGCACAGTGACAGCAAATCCTTTCGTTCGTGGCAGTAGGTGATACTTCAGCTTGGGCAGGCCTTTGGCTTCAGCTACCTGCATGCTAATCTGGTGCTTCTGTTCTGTGAACCTTGTGCCCTCGCAATGAATCAGGAACTAAAACCAAGAGAGAACTACAGTTAGAAAGCAGCTCAGGTTTTCTATATCTGTCTGATGAGAGGGCACCTCTAATTCTTGCTCACACAGCCCAGATGAACACTGCCAGCAGGGACAGGTGTAGCCACATACGCATTTAGGTAATTTAGGCATTTAGGTAAAAAAACCCACAAACCAAAACCAAACTCTCCCAACTGCTCCCACCCATCCAACTTGCCACCCTCTTGGTTTGAACTCTAGCCTTTGGGCTTTAACATCTGCTTTGCTACTCGCTGTCTGAATGACTTGATTTCTTTAAATGAATCACTCCATCTCTAATCAGATGTTAGAAAACACTCAAAACATACCTCCTGCTGCAAACCTCTCACTGATGATTAGGTGCTCGAGTGTATTGGTATCTAAAACTTGGGAAGTGTCTAACCCAAACACATTTCTAAGAAATGTTTCAGTGCCCAGCTTCCTTCCTCTCACTCCAGCCCACTTGCTTTCACTATGGCATGAGGACCACTGACAACTGCAGACAGTAACTTTGATGCCAATGACTGAGCTGGCAACAGATGTAGGGCAGTAAATGCAGGACAACTGAAAGCCTCATCTCCTTATGAACTATACAATGGAAGTGCTCAGACATGAACAATCACAGTTTTGCCACTGGCAGACAGAGGAGAGCAGACAGATCTTTGGAGATTTACCACTTGTTTATCTGCTTTCTGCCAAGCTTGAATGCAAACTAACGCATCAGAGAGCATTGCCAAATCACACAAGCTAAGTCCCCACAACCCACAGCAAAGATTTAGCCAACAAAGACAGAGAAACTGAGGAAAACTAGCCAAGAAGCCAGCTTCATTTACTCATGTATCACATGCATAACATCAAGCAGCTAGATGAAACATACAGAAACTGATGAGAAAATCCTTCTAGCCCACTTAGCATGCCCTGTCTTTCTACCTTCTGAGGTGCTATTGCTGCGCCTTTTGATATTATGTCACCAAACAAAGGCAAATTAAAACTCCACACTGCAATAACCCCAGGTGCACACCAACAACTGTATCTCTCTTACTACAGAGAGATAATAATCCCTCTTAATAATTCCTCTACAGCAGTATATAGAGGATGGTTGTGGTTTGTGCTCACCAATTAGAGCTGAACTGCCTAGGTGTACAGAAATGCATTCACATTTTAAGAGTCACAGAGCACAGTCAGATCCCTGTGAGAGAACAGAATTAGAAACCAAGAATTGTTCCTTTGCTAGACAGCCTTCTGCCTGGAAGTCATTTAATCACTACCCAAGCACAGAGCTTAGTTTCAATTGCTTAGCGCTCATTTAAATCAGTGACAACTAAAAAAAAAAAAGTTTTGTTTCAGAAAATAAGAGATACAGCACATACATCTTCAACATGAAACTGCTTCTTAGGCAATAGTTTTTGTAGTCCCTTGTGAGTCTGCTTAAGGTACCATTTCCTTAACTGTTCCCCTTCTCACCATCACCAGCTCATGAGAACTAGGATTTTTCTGATTACTGAGAAGCAAAAAAATTCAAAGGCATTTTTTTCATTCCAGACTACGAAATGCTAGGCAGGCTCAATACTAAAAAATCATGGTGATGGAAAAAAGTAACACGTTCCTGTTATTGAAGGTGACACCAATCCTCTCCCTGAAACACAGCCAATGGCCCTAGGTGCCACTTCTCTGACCAGGTCCTTATCTGTGACTTCCACTCTACTGGGCCATGTCTGACTTAGCATCTTAAGAGGAATGGCCTAATCGCAGGGAAATGGAAGGAGACAATACGAGTACAATCTCTGCAATCTAAAATGAGTGGGGAGTTGAGGTAAAGAATAAAGCTAATGTGTTTCAATACAGCATTGTCACAAGCATCTGTTACACCACCTAGGAACCCTGCATCTGACCCTCTCCAGTTCCTGTATTTAGAGGACCACAGAGTTTACTGAATGGATCACAGTGGAAGTATTTTTGCAGTATCACCTGTAGGCCTCCATACTACAGACAAAGAAAACAGACAAGACAGACTATTATATGGGAAATTCAAGAGAGAATTTAATTCTTGGAGAATACTCTCCTCATACTGCCAGGAAGCTCATGAATCAAAGTTCTTGTGAGCAACCTGGCAGCTATCACATTGTCTATGCCCTTCATCCCTCCCAAGCACTACAGTACCTCGCACTCCACTTGCTAGTTGTCACTCACCCAAAAGTTTTCAGGGTAGTCCCGGAGATTCAGCAACTTCTGCATGACTGTTTTCCGATCTTCCTCCCACTTACGCTTGCAGAAGACTATCTCTAGGAAATACCACATCCAGCCAATGATAGGCATGTAGGAGAGCTCCTTCTTTGCGAGCACTTTGGAACTCTGCAAGACAAGAGTCAAAGCAAGTAACAGAGTTACATCGCTTATGAGTTCTCTGTGGGTATGACACATGTGCAGTTAGGCACTAACATATTGATTCATATTGACCAGTCCCAGTTTTAAAACCAGTACAAAATCAAAACAAAGAAAAAGAATTTTTCCTCGTATGACTGAATAGTCAAACCTGATCTCAGATGTATGCATGAAAGAAGTCTTCCAGAATTAAATAAATATATGTGTGTATATGTGTGTGTCTATCCTGCCTGAACTCTGAAACCCAAAACACACAACAAATTACTTAAAACACTAAGGAATCCACGCAAAAGACCCAAATCACATAAAAATAAATTCTTAATTCAAACAGACCCTGGGCAGTGGCAGCTGAAGTTCCTTTAAGATATGTTGCAGCTATACTTCTCCCCGAAGCTGGGGCACCTCACCATGACAAGAAAACTATTCTGAATGAGAAACAGATTCACAGAGCCATTGCTGCACAACAGTATACTGATGCACACACATGGTTTACAAATGGAGAAAGCCTTAAACAACACTAGAAACAACAACAGCAATAGAAATATTTCATTAGGGTTTAGATTTGTTTATGGAAGGGCAATAATACTTACCCAAGTGAATTTCACTTCAGAGCATGCTTCTGGAGTTGAAATGGTACTATTCCTGTCTCACACATGTGACAGACTCTGAAATTATTTGTGCAGACTCTCCACAAGAAATCTATGGCTTATCACACATTCAACAAGTCTCAAATCTCAAATTCTACTCCAGAAATTATGTGATCATCTCACACTAACAACCCTTTGGGCAGGAGAACTGTTTCCACTTGCTTCTTTCCTGTCTTCCAAGTCAGCCTGCCTCGGTCAGCTATTTAACTTTTCACTGTCTTATTTAAGCAATAATATGGCACACACGTGTATATAAAAATTGTTGCTTCAGCATTTCCAGAAAAAGTTACATTTTCCTAGAGTATAGACTATTATACTCTAGTCCAGTTTCTGTCTGTGATATCATTACAAGCCATCTCACAAAAGTGCTCTGCAGATGAGTTCCAGCACATTGCATTTGACTAGCAGGAATTATTTACTAGTAGAAATCACTATGAACAGAAATTTTTTACTTTTATTTTTTGGTTACTGTTGTTCATTTGATTACTAGGGGAATAAACTTGACCTAATTCTTTATCTCAGCTTGTTTCTCTCATCTGAACTCGTTCCTTGAGGAGGAAAATACCTTAAATAATTTAGCTATCTAAAAGCTCATAAGACTGGAAGGCAAGAGCACATCACATTGCTTCACTAGCAAGTGTTACACAGAAGCAGAGCAGAAAATAACATGAGACAATTCCATTTCTGAGAATGCAGGAATAATCTCTGCCAATTGATTTAACACTTTGTAATACAGCATTTCCTCTTGATCATTTTTGAGAACGTCAGTGATGGGCCCAGGTCAGGACTCCAAATCCAGCTCTCCCCCAAGCAGAAGCCGTAGGATTCGGCAGCCATAGGATTCAGCATGCTTTTTGCCATTTCAATTTCTAAACATGTTGGATGTTAATCCCTACTGCCTGGCAGCAGCAGCGCAGAGCCCAGCCTCCTCTTCCAGCTCTCCAGACTGGCCGCAGAGAAACAGGCTCTGGTCTGGTTATTTTTTCCACACTACTGTTTTTCCTTTTCTCAGTTACTCTTCATACAAGCAATATTCTTATTTCCAAAATAAACATAAATAGTTCTAGCATATATATTTAAAAGCCTCTAAAGAGCATTATTTTGTTGTAGGCCACCTACAGTATAGCTTCCATTCAAAGTACACAGACCAGTTAATCTGCTTTTCCATTCCTCTTCCCTGTATGTGCCTGAGGAAGACAGTTGAGCCAAAGCTTTGCCCCAAGAAACCCCAACAGAAGCAAAGTGTTTCTAGCTGAGCAGGGAGATCTAGAACTTTGGGGAACTACTGCCTGCCCCAGCCACGACCCGGGCAGCCCTCAGCCACAGCCTAGTGCAAGCCAGGTAATGATGCGCAATGAGGTAAACAGCTACAGTGTCACCCCCCAAAAAAAGAAAAAAAACCCATGTTCCTAAAGTTTAGTTACAGTAAGTATCATAAGACCTACCATAAACAAATATAAGTGTGCTCTGCACAGGATGTACAAAGTCTCCAGAGCAGAGAGTCAGAAAAGACAAACCAACAGTCCTCCCTCCCAGACTTTAAAACACAGGAATCCTACTCCAAAAAGCAAGCTAGGGTAACTATTTCACTATAGCTATTTTCTGCTGTTTTGCATATTTTAAAAAGCTTATGAGTCAACCAAGGAGCAGGAGAGAAGTTGCCACCATTTTTTTTTCCCCAGTGACAAAGAATGAATGTTGTGAGCTAAGGTGTCTCGTAGTGCAGGTAGAACCACAAAAGCAGAATAGATGTTCGAATTCGTCCCCAGGGCATGTTCTTATTCATTTTCTGTGCTGACGCGTTTTTAAAATTTAAAAGCGCTCTTCTAGACACATGAGTGCACAACTCCTTAGGTTGATATAAATAGAAACTAAATCACCTTGTGCTATTTTGTGCACCCAATCTATCCTAGGAGTAGAAGGAAGGCTAATGATATAGAACTAATTAGAGAAAGGAAACTGGCAAGACTGCTCTTATGTGAGAGGAATACATCAGACCTCCCCTCAGAAGCTACCATGTCTCTTACAACAACTAGAGCTACAATTCATTCTGTTTCAGTTGTCTACCCATGCACAGCTCCTGCATAATTACCAGAGAGGAAAAATGCAGCTCTAGTTGGTAAAGAAAAAGTGAGTGGCCAAAGTCAAAGTGCTTTGGTAAATACACGACAGTCACCTTTAACCTTCAAATTCAGCTTGTTCAACAGAATAAATTTCACTTTAAAGTGCTGATTTATTCCAATGTGAGCTGCCTTCTTGAAGGCAGTCAAACATTTTCAGTCTCAGAACTGTAATCCCAACAGATGTTTAATGAAATTACTGCTGGATGGGGACAACTTCTCTACAGTAATAGCATTTTAATCCAGGTTAATTTCTTTTGGCCAAGTTTGTTCAGATGGAAATACCCATGAAGTTCTCCTTTTGTGAATGATCGCACTAACGTCATACTAAAAAAAAATATTTTTACAAGCCTACTATAGATGCATTTGCACAGCTATGGTGTCACAGAAGTTATTCAACACCTCTTGATCACAGAATGCAACAAACAGCATGAAATCCTCCTGCAAACTAAGGATATCTATAAAAATTTGTTCCACAGTTTCAAAACAAATTCATTGCAGATGCAAACCACTAGCAGCAGCACTTTGCCTGGTAAGTTATTTGCTCTCCAGGCTGCTCTCAGTATTGACATACTTTTGACAATTCCGCTTGCTCTATTTTGGAAATATAGCACTCCTCCATATTATACTCTGGGACATCAAGATGGAAAGATATGTTTCTTTAGTCCCTCAAAGCCATGGTTGCAGAAATTTAGCTAGGCTCCTAATTTCTAGTGCGTCATATTGAATAAAACTTTTCCATGTTGGAAAGGTAACACAGCAATATTTTAGAGGATGTATTCCCAAGCGTATGCTAAGAAGCAGTGTTAAATGCAAATAATGATGTAGTTTGGGCTACCTACATGAACAATTACATAACTTCTATTAAAACACACAAATGAACTACTGTGTTCACACAGCTACCAGTCCATATAATGACCTAGCAAAAGTCTCTTCTCACAGCTATATTTAAGGCCATGCCCAGTTTTTCCAACAACAAGCTTCAACATAAACAACTTTTAAATAAAATGTGGGTTTCCTGGCATAGAGAACAGATAGCTAGGGTTAAAAATTATTACATGTGCTTAGCAATTTTTTATGAGAAACTTTAAGCAAAATAGTTAAAAACTAGTTTTTCATGCTGTTTTTCTGCCTTGTCTACACTGCCAAGGAATAAACAGCTATGGGCTCTTTTGGCAATGCACATATTTTGATGCCACTGTAATGGGCCACTCAGAATGTTTATGTTTTCCCATGGTAGAAAGACCACCAGCATTAATAACTGGAAACTCAAGACACCAGAAGATGAACAGATAAACCAGCAGGTTTAGCTTTAAAGCACAGGCAATTTTTGCAGATATCAATCAATGTCTTAATGTCAGAAAAAGAGTTACAAAAATTACTAAATAGCTTTTATCACTGTTCGGTGAGATGAAGCAACGAAGCAGAAAAGTACAGCAAATCGTGGCAGGGAGCATACTAATATGGTTTTGGTGTAAGTCCTGAATAACACCTTCCTCCTCAGAACACGCCTATGTCCTGATTCCAAGTTCTGGTGTCCAGTAGGTCGGTTTTCAAAGGGATGCTTAGCACACACCTTGAAGAAACTAAACGCTACAATGTGTTTAAATGCTGATACAGTAGATAGGGTGTCCACCACTAAGAAGAAGTCCTAGGACTGGAATGTCACGAGCAGGAAAAGGGAAGGGCACAGCAGAGCGCAGGGACCTGTCACCAAGACAATGTCTCTATGCGCTGCTCTGTCGTGCAAATAGACACAGGAGTTGCCATCCCCCCGCCATTGCAGCGGCATGGGGTGGAAAAGCAGAGCATTCACAACACAGCCACCACAGTCACCCTGGCTCAGGACTGTAGTAACAGCCCTGCCTTTTGTTCGGAAACACCGGGGTGGACAAAGCCCCTGCTGTTGGGGCTGTGCTGTTCCCAACTCTGCAGAAGGCCAAGTGCAGCTCCTCCAGCCCTCGCAGCTTGCTGCAGCCACCTCTGCATAAGACAGAGCCAGGAGCCCACTGTGCTCGGGGACGTCCACGCTGCCCACGGCAGCACAATGCTGAGTTGTCATCGGGCACCTCCATATTCCCTCCCTCCTGCCCACATCGCTGAGGTCTGGCAGCACAAGGAGGTGGGTATGTGTGGCTGACAGGTGTCAAAGACTGAAAACAAAACAGGAAGATCCCTTCACAAAAAAAACCCAAAAGCGGAATACAGATGTAAGTGATCAATAGTTTGGGCTGAACACAGGTTTGCCTGAAATCCCTGTCAACCTCTAGCTTTTGTGAAGTTTGCTTCCTTCTTCCAATTTCCAACAACCAAAAATCTTCTAAGGTTTGGTGCTGCAAACAATTACACATCAGTAACGTCAGCTGCATAGAGTCCAGCTGCAGTTAGCAAGACAGTCTTGGTGGCTACAATAACTTGCAAAAGTAAAAGCAAGCATAGAATTGCTTTTTCTTGTGGTTTTCTCCTTCTCCACCACACAGATCTCGGGCTCTCACTCAGCACTGTCAACCCAGTGCCTCCTAGCATTTTCAATGGATGCTCCAAAAGTATCATACTAAAGAAAAAAATTTGGAAGTAAAATAAATGTTAGAATTGTCTCTCTTTTTTTGGTCCCCTCCTACGCACATGAGCACTTCTCAAATTCTTAGCACCTTCTTTGGTTCTTTTTTCTAGATTTGTTTTCACAGCCATTTTAAAACCTTCATGCAAGCAGAGAACCTCATGCTATCTAAGTACAAGAACAAAGTCATTAGAAGAGGACTCGGGTTCACAAACCTGACAACAACACGCAAGAGACTATGCCACTCCCACTTCACTCCCCATAAACAGCAAAAAACCTAAAACCACACTGATACAAACAAAACCACATCGACAGAGCACTATAAGCCTGTGGGACTATGGCAGTTTGGCTATAAGGAGAAAGGAGAAAGCCAGTACAGGAGAAGAGAGACAAAAGCAGGAGCAGAACAATGCACGGATTGATTGTTGCAACTAAGACCAGGAGGTGCAGCTTTCATATCATGATTAAAAACAAAGAGGAAAAGGGAAAGACTTATCTTCTTTTGGGGCCAGAAGGAGCAAGACAGATTTAAGCAAGTTTAATTTTGTTTTCAAATGAGCAAAACCAAGCAAAAAAATTACAGCATTTAATGACTTCATTTAATAAAAGCTCAAGCTGTAAAACACTAAGAGTTTGGACACACACTTGTGACACTGTTAAGAGCACTGCCGTTGTCTGTCAAGGCTTCAGGGTACAGCTGGATGTCACAAAGCCATTCTGTCCGCCTGCTGCAGCCAAGCACAATCAGTCCCCACTCCTTTGGCTCTAACTTGTCTTCACCTCCCTCTTCCTCCTCCCCAGTCATCTCTCCTTTCTTCACTGCATTAGCCAAGGCAGGAGAGAAAGAAGCGGAGTATCTGAAACATGCCAAAACAGGGCAGACAAGCACCAGAACATATGAGGAGATACGGTGGCACGTGTAAGATTGCCTTTTCAGCAGCAGTGGACATGAGATCAACTTAGTAAGATGTTGGTAGTTGTCTACAGTTTGCATAGAAACTTCATGGAGTACAAAATTACACAACATTAAATATAAAACCCCATTGGCTCACAAAGTCCCCGAGTCACAAAACACTGGAGTCTGGGATACCACTTAGAAATTTCTCTGGATGCTTGCCTTTTTCTTGTAACTCCTTTTCCTACACATCAGCCCTCAGCATAATGGTTCTTACATTCCTAATTGTGCTGCCACACCAGATCCTGAAGCTTCGCGCCCTGCAAACTCATGTAAGGTAGCACAAAGTCAAACCAACCTACACCCCCCATCCCTACACATTCATCCACTCCCGCGCTGCCCCAAGCCAAGTACCAGTACGCCAACACAGACGATCCAATCAGGAAACCAACTGCGTGTCATTTTCAATTTTTTTTTTTTTAACCTGGCTTAAGATGAACCCCAACTGGCTGCCCCAACAGGGCAACTGCTTTGCTGTGTAAAGACATCTACGCAAATGAGAGCACGCAGGAACTATTTCTTCCTGGAACGGTTTCTGGGAAGTAAAACCATGGTTCATTACTCAAGACCGAAATAAAAAAAAAACAAAAAACAAAACACCCAACACATATCAGTTTCTAAAAGAATCTTAAAATTAGCAGAAATACAAACTGAGTAAAAACTGTAAGTATCTTAAAAAAAAAAAAGAAAAATTATTTTCAGTCAGTGCAGCACAGTAATTGTTTAACAGTTACGCTTCTACATAGTGGCTTTCTTATGCATAGGGAACAATATAAAAAAATTAAAACATAATCCTGATTACCTTTGGAAACTATTAAAAAAATATATTAAAGCTAATGAGATTCAATTCAACCACACAGCACCAATGTAAAAAAAGAGATTTTTGACCTTGCAGGGCCCTATTTGTACAGAAATAATCCTTTCATTTTCTACAATGGTGCTTTCTGAAGAAGCACCTGACCCTCTAAAGTGCAGCTTTATTTAGAGAACTGTAGCCATTAGGCTTGCAAAATTAGATAGACTATAC